TTGTAACTCCCAGATACTTCACAGAATCAGCTCTAGTTAGAGGATCCGTATTTATGACAGACGGATCACGAGGATAAACAGATCGAGAAAGGGAGGAAGTGCATTCGAAGCACTTGGATAAATTAAGAGAATTCAGAACGAACGGAAAATTCATGAATACGCGATAAATTATTCGAGAAATGTAAAAGGTCCCCAGGGACAGAAATGGCTTGGCAGAGGGCTACGTCATCAGCATATTTAAATAACTGGGCTGGAGAACTCGCAGACAGATCACTGATGTAGATGGAAAACAAGAACGGAGACAATACGGCACCCTGTAGTACTCCCGAATTGTTCACGAGTGGTTTAGACGTTTTCCTACAGAGCCGAGTCTGCGGAGTTCTGTTTGTGAAGTAGTCGACGAGCTACGCCAGCAGGTGCTTGGGGCAGCCAAACGAAGGACAGAACGTGGAACAGAGTCAAAAGCTGATGAAAAATCTAAGAAAACACATCTTACGGATTTCGCAGATGCGTCTAAGGATTTGGTAACGTGAACGGGGGAGGCGACAGCATTCAAAGTGGACCTGTTTGATTTATAAGCGAACTGGAGATGGTCTTCGGGGGGTACAGAAGGAAACAGAAAGGCATTTGAGAATGGCACGTTCTGCCAATTTAAAACCGCATGACCTTATATGCATTGCGAGTTTGGCAGCGATCAGTGAAGTTCGCCTCACTGTATTTCGCTGTACGATGATGATGATACATTACCGCGGTTTGTAGTGTTCTACTTAGCGGTCGCGAGCCATTGTCTTTCTTTATTGAGGATTCTAATCAACTTTCTGTATTCGATCACTGATGTCTCTGAAGCATTCCTTGTATCTGGTGGGAAAGTCAAATGGGCATAGAAGAGGTTTGTCGGCATGTGTTTGGTGCGGATAGTCGTTCTCTAAACGGAGTAATCGCTGTACACCGACTCCGATGGCTTGGGCACGTTTTGTTTATGCCTCCCCATCGACTACCTTTCCGTGCTCTCCTTGCATGTGCTGGGCAAGGATGGAAGAAGCACCGTGGAGGTCAGACCATGACACGGAGTAGAGGTATGAAGAAGCTGGCGTTCGCTTAGTCTCCGGTTGGTGCAGCCCACCTTCCAGGTCGGAGGCCAGAGGAGGAGGATTGCCGTTGGTTAGAGACGTTCAAAGAATAGAAGTCAGTGACGCGAATGCTGCATGGTCGGCCTGTTGAAATCCCGAGCCACATGAAAATAAAATAAAACTCAAAAAGTTTCAAAGGTGCACGATCTACCCAATAAACTTGCTTTTTGACGACCAAATAAACCAAAGCAACGAATGCTTCTTCCATTGGGGTCAATTCGTCGAAAATCGCAGAGTAGACTCTAGTTCCAGTATACCACCTTCACATTCAGCGTTTGGTGACGTAAAGATACAGTGAAATCGTTTGGAATATTCTGATTTGAATCAATACTCATGGAGAAATTATAAATCATTTCGGGTGGTGGTGCAGTGGTTTAGTCGCCGTCCCTGACGTGGTTTGGACCCTGTGGCCCAAGCTCCGCCACCGCCAATCAAGTTTCGTGATAGACGGCTTTACCACGCCTAACCTAGCGGGATCTTATGTGGTTCACTGCTCCAAATCTCGGGGTTTGGCTTACCGGTTTCCATCACTGAACAGCAGGTCATCGTGACTGGGGAGCTTTTCCCGTCGGTTGTTTATCACAGTAAGGTATGTAATTTAAAAAAATTCATAAGAAATTTAACGAAATTATTATTCACACTGAGCTTGATTCACATTCTGGCTTGTTCCAAATCCATGAAAAGTTTACAAAAACATTAGGAAAAATACATGATAAAAGGCTTTTTCTCAGCTAATTGTACGTACACCAAAATACAATGAGACATCTCACACTATCAATCGTTATAAGCTTGAGAGGAATCAGTCAATAGAGTCTCGTACACCGCGCAGGAAAAAACCTAATTAACATCCGTTCGTCTGTTTTTGATTCAAGAAAAAAAAACAGAAGTCATGCAGTCACTTTGTTTACTCAATCATCGTCACCTCAGAGAATAACCCTCATGAATGAACCCTTAGCTGATCACGTTCGTAAACGCTGCTCCGCTTATTTGGACATGAGAGCAGGTAAATGTTACGGTGCTTTCGCACGTCGTTCGATCTAAGTATTTAACGATTGTGATAAATGCGCTTTATTGAGCTTATAAAGATCACAACAGAAAACCTAGATCGGTCGAATGTAGAGTCCTGGCCGATCAGTGCTATCGGTGTGACCTCGTAGCTCAACTGGTAGAGCATGCGCGTACATGGCGTAGGCGGCGTCCATGCGTGGGTTCGAATCTCACCGAGGCTACTGAACTTTTCACAATCGACATACAAACTTCAAATCTGCCAAACAACAATTTGAACTATTAAAACTGAAACACAGCAGCGCATATATATATATATATATATATTCACAAGTGAGAATATCTGCAGCTCAGATTCCGTATTTGAGGAGAACAACGAAAGTTTAATATCGTTTTCCTCCTCATGGATGAATCCTATCCCTGGCATCATGGAACGTTCAATTTTTAATACAACACAAAGGTGTCGTCCACACGTCGGATACAAAGACAAGGACGGTAGCCTTCAAATGTCCATTACCACATCAACTAGTGGGCTGGAGACTGGCGGTCCCATTGGGGTGCCTATCACCTGTCGTACCTGTGTACAAAATTCCGTTCCTAGACTGTGATTAACGTGAAGTAGGAGACACAAACAACTGTGCACTACAACGCGCTGACACGAAGTCACATCTTTGGAACCATTGCGAAACGACAGTTCATGAAGTCAGAATCAACGAAGCGAAAGTAGTGGGAAAGGGCAAAGAGGAAGAGGGAACTTCTTATTTTTGAAGCGCTGCATTTGACCAACTCATTCAATCGACAGGTCGAAATCGATAAACATTACGCAACGATTGTACAACCAGTGACGAACGCAGGGTTGATGAACACAGGCGCGACACAAACCACAGCGTGAGGCACAAGTAGACTCAATTCATTCACACATTATCGTTTGACCAATTCTAGTTTGGATCGAAACGTTACGATGAATACTACCATTGAGTGCTCGCCTTTTCCTTCTCAAACTGCCAAACTTGAGCTGCAGATACTCTCACTTTGGTTTATATATATATATATATATTGATAAATACATCTGGACGATAACCTAACCAGCAGTACCATACTTTGGTTAAACATGCAGTCAGAAACCGAACTTGAAAAAGATTCTCCTCTTTTATACCTGGAGACCACATCATCTAAACTAACCAACAGCAAAAACGGTTGACAAAGAACAGAAAACATCATGTATATTACAAATATTTCGAACTATTTGTAATACCCACGACAACATCGTCGGTCCATGGTACATGGGGCAATTGGGGCGATGAATTTGGAGAATGAAGTAGTATTGTATAGTAACGGTGTTTTGCACAGTCTCCCGTTTTGAATGCTCTTAGATCTTACAAACAAAATTAACGGTTCCGCAGTTTTACGATCTGAAAAAATGCATGTATCCGCTTCCTTGGCGTAAAATCCCAGCAACAGGAATGTATGAAATGTTCGTAAACAAAAAATGTACAAGTCTGAGAAAAGCATATGTTTAATTAAATGATACTGTGGAGTGAAAGAGCGCTGCACTAACTGTAAAAATGAATGCATCTAACTAATCTCATAAAATAGCCCAGAATCAATACTGAAAGTATTTTTGACACGAAGATGAATTTACTTCAAAAGGAAACGATAATGTTCATAAGAGGAACAACCGCTCATTGTGGTCACCCAAGGAGGAAGTCGTGACATGGCTTCTTTCAAAACCGGAGAATTACAAGAAGTGAACTGGTCATGAACGTAAATTCCCGCTGCGGCCAGATCGACATGTGGTTGAACAACATCAGTAGAGAAATCTAAGCATAGCCAGAATGTCCACGGCTGGGTCCACACTTGTGAATGATTTCGAAGTTCCGCGTTAACATGATACACGAAATAATGTGCACCAGTGGGTCCAGGATAATCACGTTTCTTTGGGAGTGGAATCGGTATTGGAAACGGTGAACTAGAATTAAAAGACCAAGCGAACAAACGAACCGATGGAGTATCTGTCCGAATCAGAAGATGCGTTAGAGGCGGACCAGAAACGATACTGAACGTCAAATTAACAGCCTGTCTGTCAGGAGGAAATACGGGGTTGTTCAGTGAAGTTCTAGAGAGCATAATAAGACGAGCGGTTGGTTTGAGAGAGTGTGGAGGAGAGGGGATCTGGTAAAAGGAATCAAGAAAATGAATATAAGGATACAAAGAAGGCGTGCCACAGTAGGGACGAGAACGATTGCAAGGTATGGAAGAAGCATTTACAAGTTCTGTCAATCCGCCGAAATTGTCGTTTGGCAAGTTATCATCTTGTAAAATGTAAGAGAATAACGAAGAAGGGATAGCTGCAGGATAGGAATGCGGTTTAAGAAAACGAATATCATTCACATCTAACGGAAGAATCGAAATAAAACTATCATTGGAGGTCACGTGTTCGCTATCCGCCAGGTCACGGAAGCGCCTTTCTGTGTGAAAAATCGCAATTCGTTGAAGTCGTGGACTGAAAGTAGGGTCATCCACCGATGAAGTGGGTGGAATTGCATATGGGAACCCGTACGGGGATGCATGAACCAGAACAGCATAAGAGATACATGCATTCAATAAGATTAATCTCAGAGACCTTGATGCGTTCCCCGCTGAGCATTGCATCATACCTCCAAAAAGCAAAGTTATGGGCGATATCAGGTAAAACAGACATACACTTAACGCTATGTCGGGCTCTATTATTTGACCAGATCTTCCGAAGACTGGAATGAAAAATTCAACGACGCTAGCACAAAAATAGAAGTGCCAAAATAAACAGGCAGGAATTACTAAGAAAAACGTCCAGCGGACACTATTCAGCGAATTCGGAGCGGTTAGTTGATACATCACGCGTCCAAACAGGATGGAGGCCAACCAGATGGTTGAAACAAATCCAGCAGGACTGTTTAGCAAATCAAAAACAAGCATGTGGAAAGCGATTACAAAGAGAGCAGCATCAAAAAAATCGCGTTCAATTAGAAGATTATTCGTTTTCCTTGATATCACCCACCCCATTTTATTGAACAAACCGGAAGACTTAAAGCAGATAACGCACAAACCATTAGGAATGTTTGTCAATAGGGTAAAGAACCAGAAGAACCAGCAAATGAATGGGAGTAGATAAATTCCGACCAGATTGTAACGGGCCGAATACCAAGACATACGACAGCCATAGTGATGCGTTAAATAACCCAAGAGATAAGCAAATATAAGTCCAAAAACCTGTGCGCATAGCTGAATTACAACGGCGAAAATAAATCCAATCCAACGACAGAGAGTTAAAACGTCTATCGTATAATAGCCAACACACGGAAAGAGTTAATAGAAGCCAGTCAAACAACTTCCATAGTCTCCAAGGCACTGAAATCAGCTGAAATCCCAATACATCAAAATATACGCTTCGTGTCCACGCTGAAGTTTTAACCTTGGCAGTTAGACGATAGGATCGATCGATGTCATCAGAAGATAGGAAACGATTGAACGAAGCAGTAGAGTTTTCTGTATCATCCCGGGATTCCAATTTTTTAACAAGTTGTAAGCGTTCGTCATGGGCGATTTGGCGCAAAAAAGTAACAATATCTTCCCCTGTGGACTGCAGGCACTCTTTGCTTATTCTCGATTCCGTATCATATCGCGTATGGTAACAATAACCGTCCGAGGTGTAAGCCATATCCAAACCTGGGATACGACCAAAATCACGGAATACCCGAAAGTCCGTATCTGATGGGATGATTCCAGATTGGAACAGTTCTTCTGCGAAAACGTTTGCATAGGGTTGTGCAAAAGAATCAGAATAACTGTTCACTAAGAATTCTGAGTCTGTACCCGGGCCGGACTGAAACACCATGAGTCTTCCACCGGAACCAGCACCTTCGAGGTTCAAAAATGCTGAAACCTCTTTGGCCCACTGATGTTGTGTGACAAACGCATGACTGCTAGGTAGGATGGACTCTTCGGCACCATTGAACAAAAATATAAGGTCATTGGTTAAATTGTTAGGACCCAGGGCAAAGATTCTACAGGCTTCTAGCATTATGGCGCAGCTAACGAAATCATCTGAGGCACCGGGACTTTCTACTGCAGAGTCATAATGGCAATTTGACAGAAAAGCTCGCCTTATGTTCGTAGCTTTTACTGGCCTACTAGCGTGAAACTTCAGCAGAAAATTTCGAAGGTTATTGTAAGCGGAAACGTGAAAACCAGTCTGAAAACTCGAGTAGTTAGAAACTTGTTCGTCGAATTCTACCTTCATTCCTGAATGAGTAGCAATACGGGCGATATTCAGTAATTCTCTGCGCAAGTAATCAGCTGCTGACAGTTCATTGGCATTCGACCCCGCAGGTCGCGGCCCAAGGGATGTCACACGCTGTAGGTGAACTCTAGCATTGTCACTCGAGAAATGCAACAACTCAAATGTTTGTTTTTTTACATTGATTGTGCAGCTATGACGAAGAGAACAGACGTATACAGCACCAATAAAAATGATCACCAATGATTTGATCCAGAATGAAAGTTCAGGTGAGTCGTAAACGGATTCAGAAAGCCCCCTATCGGAGGGCGACATGTACGTAGATTCATTTTGCGGTCGAGATTCAACTCCATCGTTTGACCGAGGGTTATCACTGGAGACGTTAGGTCTGCGACGGGGGACGGCATCCATCGCGTCCGCACCGTGGTTAAATGAGTAACGCAACCGAAGGTCAGGTCTTGAAGTCAGTCAGTCAGTCAGTCAGTCAGTCAGTTTGCACAGGACAGGAAGTGGCCACGGCCAATCGAGCGTCCAGATTACCTCCGGTAGTAAGCCTCGTTCCGGCCTCTACCACTGCGAGTGTTCTATATTGCAGTTCTATAC